AGTGGGGGGACACGAGGGGTTAAAGAGAGGATGGAGAAGCCCCCTGGAACCCGGGGGTATTTGCACTCTGCCGGGGGTGGCACGGGGACGGGCAGCTCAGCCTGCACGGGACCGGAGGGACACGGGAGGAACGAGGACGGGCAGCGGGGAGTCAGAGGTGCTTTCACTGCCGGCTCTGGGGGACCGAGGCGGGCTGAGGGCAGGCGACCCCGAGCCCCTCCACCACGGCCGGGTGAGGGAGGCCCAGCCGGGCCCCCAGCAGCGACCAGCGCAGGGCCCATGCCGGGCACCGGTAAGCTGGGGAGATGCCGTGCCTGGTTGCTGCTGGAAGCTGAGAACGTCCAAGTCCTCTGGTGTCACTGCAGATGCGCACAGTCAGCACTTTTTATGAATATCATAAATCAGGGGTGGCGTGCCTGATCTCAGAAGGGTCCCCAGATGCAATTAAACTACGTGCGCTCAGCACAGGACCCCGTGGTTCCCGTGGGAAGGGACCACGTCGGAGACACCAGGATCTGCGTCTGGGGGTAAGTCCGGAGAGACAGAACAGGGCGAGACCCACAGATTTCACTCCACGCCATGGTCATAACCACGGCTTTGACGCCCACCACGAGGTGGATCAGCCAGGGCAAGACCCACTTCCCGTGGGAAGGGACCACGTCGGAGACACCAGGATCTGCGTCTGGGGGTAAGTCCGGAGAGACAGAACAGGGCGAGACCCACAGATTTCACTCCACGCCATGGTCATAACCACGGCTTTGGCACCCACCACGAGGTGGATCAGCAGCGCAGCTGGGCTGGCACTGCCAACTCGGGCCGTGGCAGGGAGAGGGGAGCAGCTCGAGGATGGAGCTACAGGAACCCTCCCCGGGCGCATGTCACGACAGGACGTTCTGTCCCCCGTGACGCAGCTTGAAATGTCCCCAGCACCACGTGGACTCGTAACCCTTCGCTGCGAGGATCTGGCTGGGAAAAGCTCTTCAGCAGCGCAGCTGGGCTGGCACTGCCAACTCGGGCCGTGGCAGGGAGAGGGGAGCAGCTCGAGGATGGAGCTACAGGAACCCTCCCCGGGCGCATGTCACGACAGGACGTTCTGTCCCCCGTGACGCAGCTTGAAATGTCCCCAGCACCACGTGGACTCGTAACCCTTCGCTGCGAGGATCTGGCTGGGAAAAGCTCTCCACAAGCAGGGCCCCTGTTAGCTCGGAGCTCCCTGCCGAACCGGCACCTCGCTGCCGGTGGCACCTGCGGACGGCGGCCGCGGCAGAGCGGGGTGCGGGATGCCGGGTTGCTTCCGTCGTAACTGCGGATTTCAAAGCCTTGTGAGGGTTCGCTCCAAACCTCAGGCTCTGATTTAGAGTTTTTTGGTTTGGTTTTACGATTAGGTGGGCAATCGGGGTGAAAGCGAGGGGAAAAGGGGCTGCCGCCACGGGGGCAGCCGGTCAGAGAAGGCGCCGG